GACCAGAAGTGTTATTATGAAATGAAGTTTATGGGATCTGGGTATATAAACCCGTCACCCACTAAACCTTAACCCTAAGTTGGTTGCAGCCGTCAACCTCCCTCTTCGTCTCCTGTTTGCGGCCGCCACTTTCATCGTGTCCGTCCTCCAGCCGCCGCCGTGCCCTCGCTGTGAGGGTGAAACTACCGACGAGGACCATCGGGATCACCTACTGCCACCATCTTCTCCTCTTCTTTTCGTTAACCACCACCGAAGCCCTCTAGACGCCGCCGCCATCCGGTTAACTGCCGCCTAGAACCATCAAGCACTCACCAACACTATTGTTGCCGGCAATATTGAGGACTGACGGAAAACCGCAATGAAGTCACGACAGAAAGTAGATCAGAAGAGTTGTTCCGACGTCGTTGGGCTGCTGCACTGCCGAGTCCGACCACCGCTTGATACCTCGCCACTGAAACGTCATCGCAACCCTACTGCCGCCCACCGATGTCGAAAACGGCCGGAGAAACCCCATTGAGATCGAGGCCGGAGCTGTGGTTGAGTGTACGTGTGTTTTCTATCGAAAGGAAGGGGCCACGAAGAACCACCATGGTGGTCAGCCATGTTGGTTGTCGGCGATAGCGGACCTGCTACCGCCGTGCGCTACCTGCTACCGCCATGCACCACCGTCGGCCACCACAAAGTGGATGTGTGTATGTTATTTATGAGTGTGTGTTTATTTAGTATAGTGTGTGTGTTTATTTCATGAGTTCATTGTAAATTGTAAAAATTGGAATAATGAAAGGGAAATCAAACCACCACCGTAGGGTGGTGGCTGCCGCCACCGGCCGCCGTGTCGGGTAGCGGTGTGTCTTGTCTGGATTGTGACTCATTGGAATGTTTGGACAAGGGACTAACACCCTAATGGGCCTAATAAACCCTAATGGGCCCAATGAAGCCCTAATTAACATTAAAGCCCAAACATGTGTCTAATGGGCTTAATGGACCCTAATGGATCTAAGGATTTATCTATTGGGCCTCTTGGGCTAAGATGGGTTGGAAACCCTAATTAGGGTTTGGAAAACCCTAATGCCATGAAACCCTAATTTGGGGAATTAATCGGGACACACGTGAATTATTTGATAACTTGAAATATTAAATAATAATCATTGGCAAAAATTAATCTACGCAAAATTGGACTTAATGGATTAAGTCCTTAATGGATTAAGTCCTTAGTGGATTAAGTCCTGAATGGGTTAAGTAGGAAACTTAACCCTAATAATCATTTTATGTGAAACCCTAATTTCATTTGGGCCTTGAGTTGGGCCTTCCTATTGGGCTTTGGTGATTGGACTATTAATGGGCTTCCAAGAATAAGCAAATGGACTAAATAATTATATGGGTTTTAGGATAAGGCCCATGTGAGAGTCTTGGGCCCAATTTGGAAAATTGGGCCATTGATGGGCCATAATTGGGCCTTTATGATTATGTGATATTGGGTCATTGGAATACCAAGAGTTTGGACTAGAATTAATGGATGGGCCTTAAGGTAAGACCATGTACAGGTCTGGGCCCAATTTGGAAAATTGGGCCATATGTTGGGCTTTGGCCCATTACTTGACTTTTTGGGTCTTTGGAGTGTGAGTTGGACCTTGGGCTTGGAACCAATTACTAATTGGGTATTGTTTGATGTTGACAGTTCGGGAAGTTGTCAACCAACAGCTGGAGTTTCATCCGCGGGACTTCAGCAGTGTCAGGTGAGTTCTCCTCACTATATCAACAGGGTCTACGGCTCCAAGGTCGGCCCTTTATGATTTACATCCTGGTTTAGGATGGTTGCTATGTTATTGTGATGCTAGATTTCATCCTGGTTTAGGATGGTTGATATGTTAGATTACATCCTGGTTTAGGATGGTTGCTATGTTATTGCTATGCTAAATTTCATCCTGGTTTAGGATGGTTGCTATGTTAGATTACATCCTGGTTTAGGATGGTTGCTATGTTATTGCTATGTTAGATTTCATCCTGGTTTAGGATGGTTGCTATGTTAGATTTCATCCTGGTTTAGGATGGTTGCTATGCTAGAGATCGGTTAGATCGGTATCCTGGTTATAGGATGGTTGCCATGTTAGTGATCTGTTAGATCTTCATGTTTACTTGTTTATATGTATGTGCACATGTTTGTTGGTTTGGGGAAAGGGTTGAGGCAGGTCCTGCTGTGTGCAGTAGGCCAAGACACCCTGGGCGGACTGGGTAGACTGCAGGCCCGGGCCGGGCAAATCTAGTCAGGCCGAAGGCCTAGCGAGCGGTCCGGATAGGCTGAAGGCCCCAGGGAGGGCGGTCCAGACGTGCCGAGGGCTCGGAGAGCGGTCCAGATAGATTGAGGACCGGGATTCAGTCCAGTCAGACTGATGGCTCATTATGCATGCTGTTTGCTTATATGTTATATGATATGATTATGATTGTATGGCGTTGGTATTTTGGGGGTAACTCACTAAGCCTTCGAGCTTACATTTATCGATTATTGTTTCAGGTATTCTGATGATCGCGGGAAGGCGAAGGCGTGATCGTGCACATCCTTACATTTTCATGATTGATTCTGGGGATACTCTGATGTTTAAATTATTTTGAAAGTAAACTGTAATAACTTAATGGTTTTAAATGTTTTAAAAAGTTTTAAATTGGCTTGAATTTTATGGGTGTTACAGTTTCAATCTCTGTATTTTGCATGATAAAAAAGGCTAAAGTGGAAGAGCAATCCAGTTAACGCAAAATCCTGAATGTTTAAAATGCCAACACTCGAAATTTTCTAAGATCAAAGATCTATGGAAGAAATTCAATTTAAACACGTAATTAACAATTCCTATATATGAGATTAGATTTAAAAAATGAATGACAGAAAATTTTATTTTAAAATTGGGATAATTTTATTGGAATTAAATAAATTTCATTTCAAAAAGGTAATTGATTGAAAAATATTAAAGATTATTGGAATTAAATGCAATAAATGGTGATGCCACCAAAATATCTACATGTGGAAAAGATAGGGATGAAATGCAAACAATGACCCTGATTATTTTAGATGATGTCATAATGTTTCTGTTTTAACATATATTAGAGATTAGAGACTGTGAATATATATTGTTATTTGGTATTTCGCTAATATATAATATATATTCTATAATGAATATTAGTATTTTAAAATTTTACATTTAAAAAATCTAAAATTTTAATTTTCGAAAACTTGAGAATCCCATAGCTACCTCTAATTTCCTTAATATCTCAAATTACAGTTACCATTTTACCCTTGAATATATATATATATATATATATATATATATATATATATATATAGATATATATATATATATATATATATATATTAATCTGATTTTTATTTAATTGTTTTAACAGCAAATCAAATCTATTCCTAAAATGACTCCTTAAATCCATCTATGTCCACAACGAGACTTGAACGTTCAACCTCAAGGAGGGAAGACAACACCTGATACCGTTAGATTAAAGTAAATTACAAAAAATAACTTAATTAAAAAAATGATTGGTTAAGAATCGTTCTCACTTTATTTAATTATCACTTTATTTAATGTTCTTATTTGAATCATTTCATATATATATATATATATATATATATATATATATATATATATATATATATATATATATATATATAAAGAGAGAGAGAATTCAATTGAGCAGAATGGTTGAGAATGAATGAATCATTCTCAACCACATATTTATTTGTTGCCGCAAAACGCTCCGGCGTACCGGTGTGACAAAGGAGAGATAATATTCATACACGAATATAAATTTAAGTATATTCATATATGAATTCTCTACTGTCCTCTTATCCGCCACCTCCACACTACCCCTACCACTTCCACCACCTCTACCACTACCATCACCACCCCACCCTGCCACCGTCACAGCCACCTCCGCCACCACCACCTTCGCCACCACCACCACCACTACCCTTGGAACCATCGCCACCTTCGACACCACCTCAGCCACCTCTACCACCATCACCTCTGTCACCGCTGCCGCCACCACCACCTTAGCCACTGCTACCCCTAACACCTCCGCCAACAACCACCTTAATAATATATGAATAATCATATGTGAATATACATTATGTAATATTCGTATATGAATATGTTTATTCATATGTGAGTATTAGTACATAATATTCATATATGAGTATACTTATTAATTTATCAATATTATCTTTTTCGTCGGTCCGGTAAGTTGAAGCGTTTAAGTGTCAGATTGCGAAATGTGTGGCCCAAATTCATTCTCGCATTCTCAACATTTTTCTTTTTAATTGAACCTTTGTCTTCCCCCCCCCCTCTCTCTCTCTCTCTCTCTATATATATATATATATATATATATATATATATATATATATATATATATATATATATATATATATATATATATATATATTAACATTGAAGCAAACCTTAAATCAAGTTGCGCACCTTCAAGGCATTAGGGTCCCAATTGTCATGTAACGTTGGAACATATTGAAGATGTCACCATACTTTACCAAATTCATGCATGCTTCTGCACTCTTTCCATCAACATATTATTCCCAAACACTACATGTTATCTCCCTTTGATATTGGGCTCCTTGAGTACATACACTACATGACACCATGTGCATGTCACATGTCATTTCCAATGTCAAATAATACATTTTATCGTTTTTCTCATCACATGTCTTTTCTACTTTGATGTGTCATGTTACAAAACCTTTATCAAACAAATAGTTTGAAATAAACGTTATCCAAATCCTTACAACAAAAAATCGATTGAAGTAGTCCTAGGTTTATAGCTATTGTTATGGGAGTTCTAATTACAATGTATATGATCTAACTCTTGCTTCTTGCTCTTGGGATGAGGTCTCAAGTGGTTGAAAGAATAACATATTTTTGCAAAACAAGTTGATAGAAACTTATAATAGCTACTAACTTATTAAATCTATCAAATATTATTACTTCAATGTGTTCCTCATACAATTTTTATTTACTTTATCTTTACGCTATAAGTAGTAATATAACTCTGAACAAATATCGATAATATTCCCTCTTTTAGTTATAGATATGTTAGCTCTTTCGACAAACTTCTTCCGACTTTAACTTCACGACACTTTATTGGCTTGAATCAAGACTCTCCTCAATTGATCAGCAATATCTTGCATACGAATCGGTTTCCGAAGAATTCCATTCATCCCAAATTCCAAACATCTTTCCCACAAACCTTCATCACCACTAGCAGTTGAAGCAATGATCAAAGGCCAATTCCGGCTCCTAAACTTTCTGATTCTTGATGCCACTTCAAACCCATCTAAATCCGATAAATGCAAATCCAAAATCAAGATTTGGTAGGCGGCAACCGGCGGGTTGAGGGCGGTGAGACAGTCGAAACCGGTGGTCACGGTGGTTACAACACATCCAAGTTTCTTGAGCAGTTTGCTAGTGACTGCCCGGTTTATATCATCTTCATCCGCTAAAAGAACTTGAACGCCTTTCACGATGGAGTTTGATAGCGGGTGGTGGTGGTCTGAGGGTTCACTGGTTTCAGATCCGGCCAGCATTATTGATGGCCGGAGCTGAAACCGGAGAACCAGTGACATGCTTTGATCGAACCCAATTGGATTCGGGACTACCCAAATGTTCCCTTGCATCATCTGGTTCAAAAATCAATCATAGGTTAAATCCAAAATATCTACACAGTTATAACAATGTCATCCAAATATCTACCTAGTTATAACAATGTCATCCAAATACAAAACAGTTTTTATAATAATATCCTAATAGAACAAAAAATGAAAATATAATGCTATAAATGGGTAGATTTTTTAAGATAAACTACAAAAAAATCATGAAAAAATATTGTTTAAAACTAACCTGGACCAACTTTTTGCACATAGTAAAGCTCAAACTCTCCTCCGCCACCACTCTCCGGCTTCTCTGATCACCAGAAGATCTCTCCACCACCGAAAACGCATCATTTATTCCAATTTCAAACTTCACATTAACATAACCATCATTAGACTTTGACCTCCAACTCCGCCATTGTTGACTTTGACTTCCTCTCTCTCCAAAAACCCTAAAAGTCAAACACCCACCACCATTCCCCCAACTTAAAAGATTCCCAACCATATGCAAAATCACCTGAAAAATCCTCCTTTCGTCTCCCAAAACATTATCCGGTAAATATTTATCAAAATTAACCTCAAATTTATAATCTTTATAAGCACACAAACATTTCGCAAGACACGCAGCTTCTTTAACCAAATCATGAAGCCGAAACGACGTCATTTCCAAAGGAAATTTCCCGTTATCTTTTGTGGAATCATCCATGACGTCATTTATCAGAATCGAAAGCACGTTGCTGTTTTTCACCATGGTGTCGATAATCACTCGTTGTTCATCGTTTAGATTGTCGTCTTGTAGAATCGAAAGTAAACCCATGATTGAATGCATCGGTTTTCTCAAACCTGTGCTCATGACTGATTGAAATGACCTTCTAGCTTGACTTGCTCTCATGGCGTCGTGTTTAGCTTGTTGTAAAGCTTGATTTTGCGCCACTAATTTGTCTCTCATAAGTCTGGATTCTTCTAGCACCGCCGCATGAGAAAGAGCCACCGCCACTTGATCGGCAACTGTTTTCAAGATCTCGAGTTCGGAATTAGTCCACGATCGGAAATTTTCTCCGGGAAGAACCAACACCAAGATCGCGTAACAGACTTGAACCATCTCCGGCGTGCCACCCTTGAAGTCCGCCACACGAAGCATTGGCATTCTAATCGCCGCCACACCTCCCGGCGGATCTAACCCACCGCTGCTCAACGCCGAAAGTCTTGATTCACGATCGAGTAACTTCACCACTTCGCTTCTTTTAATCTCTTGAACATCAGAATCTTGAATCGGGATGTAAAAGTCGTTGATTGTTAAATTCTGTTCAACCCCTTTTAACTGATGAGTCAAATTCATGACAGTTTTAGCTTCATCAGGCATCCAAATGGCGCAATTTTGTAAATCCAAAGTCTCTGATAATTTATCGAGAGTTGTGTAAAGAATGGTGTGTCGATCGAGGGACTTTCGGATTTCATGAGTCAGCATTCTGACATGCCACCCGGCTTCTTTTTGTTTCTTGATCATTCCCATTTCTCTTCCGAGATCCCAAAACTTCTTTCTCAACATAAATTCACGAACTTTAACTTTTAAAAGAAGCGGGATTAGAGTGATTAGGGTTATCGCTGTAGCGAATGAGACTAATGCTGTGAGGAATTTGAAAATGGTGAGTGCGAGCATGAGTTGAAAAGGGTGGGCATTGTAAGTCCATCCGTTGAGTAAATGTGTCATTCCACAGAGAACGATGAATAAGATGAATTGAAAGAGAACCCATTTGAAAGGAACATTTGAACAGCTTACGAAGTAAAGAAGTTCGATTGGAATCGAGAAATAAGCAACTGCGATTAAGAAATCACTCACTCTTTGGGTTTCCATGATGTTTTTGTACCCGAAAAAACCTTCAAGCTCGCAGTTACAGCTTGAATATCCATTATCGGATGCCGAAACAGAGACCAAGAACAGGAAAAGTAACATGAAATTTGGTAATTTTCTCGACATTGAGTGAATTAAACGCGTTATGTTGGATAATTTGATTTGATTAGAGAGAATCATCGGTGTCTTTGAAGACTATAGCATCCTGTTCTTCAACGAGAAAAAACAGAAAGAAAAAAGAAAAGGATTAATCAACCAGAAATGGAAAATCGACGAAACCCTTTTCAGAAATTGAATCAAACAGTTCAAATTTCATAATCTCAGCTTGTAATTTGTAAATTTCAACAGATTTCAGTAGAGAAAACCGTTCTAAATTGCTTAAGTTTCCTCAAAATTCTGCAGATTGTACACTAAAAAACAAGAAACTACTAAAAATAGAAATCGAAGAAAAAGCGAAAATGTAGGCAGAAGATATGAATTGTACCTTGCAAGAAATGCAACCCGTTTCTCCTCATCAATAATGGGAAACAAAATTCTTTAAAAATCAAAATTCCATAGCGTTCTGAAACACAAAATCTGGGTCTCTCGCATACTAATCATTCAATTACATAAAGAATTTTGGTTTTTGACAAAAACCCAATTCAGGAAAACCTCCTCATGGTCGAATTAGTGGAAGAAACGCCAAGATTTTGTAGCTTTTTCCACATAAAGTCTGAAGAAAACTCTGAATAGAATAAATAAAAAGATGCATGCACCTACATCTGTTTTTTCTCTATCCCCACACAACTTGAGAACTGAAGTTTCGGAAGGGGGAAAGGGTCGAGATGGAGAGAGTGTGAGAGAGATGGGTTGGGTAGTTTTGTAGGCGCCGTTGTTTTTTGGTTAGAGGAGAGAGAAATGGAAAAGAAAAGAATTAAGAAAATTCTTCTTTAGAATTATTTATTTATTTTATATACTAGGAAATTAAAAATTTGGTTTATGTAGTTTTCAGATTTTTTTGGTTATCGTACAGTGATTTTCAAAACTTTATATATGGTATTTTTCCTCTATTTTTTTATTATGGTATGGTAGGTCTCTGTATTTAGATATAGTCTTTTTCGTCTTCTTTTTATTATGGTATGGTGGGTCACTGTCACATTTAAAATTTCTATACTATCCTTGTTATAATTTAAATTTTAAGTTTCTTTTACTAATTATCAATTTAGAAATCAAATGTCTCCTAAACAATCCCCCACCAGAACCCTTAGTTACCCCAGCTGCACCAGAATAGTTGTCGGGTTGGATTGATTCAAGGTAGCCCTTCGTATCGTCAATTTCTGAATCAACCTTTTTTTTTTCTTCCGAAAACAACAGTTATGATCAAGAACGAACCTATTAATTATTGGAGTAATTCAAAATGTGGGACAGTTTTAATCCCACGGGTATTTTAGGAAATGTTTTCTTATTTTAAAGTTTTGGTATTTTTTTTTCTTTCAGTAGCCGTAGTATTAGGCTAGGTTTCCTTTATGTTTATTATAAATAAGTTCGTGTACCTTTGCAAATAAAAGTATTATTCCGGTATATTTTTGTCATCTGTTCCTGTTCCTTCCTACGTATCTGTGTGGATTGAGTTTAATTATCTTAGCCACACCTTAGTGAATAAGAACTAGCACTTGCAAATTTACATTTGGTATCAGAGCTAAGGAAAGTTGATTGATCACAGACCTACCATGGAAGGACCGCTGATGAAATATCAAAACCAACTACGCTACATGGGCAATTAAGATGAAGGTCTCCATGCAAGCACTTGAGGTTTGGGATTTGATTGAGCCTAAGAATCCCCATAACCCAGGCTGGTGTCAAGAAGGATAAGATAACTATGGCATCGATTTACCAAGCCATCCCGAAAGAAATCTTATTGTCGATAGCGGAGAAGCAAACGACAAAAATGTAACATCCTGGATTCCAGGTATAATTTATCATAAGTTTATTTGAAGTTTATAAAGGATTTTATTGGCCACGACATGGGAAAGGTGTCCTCATGACGTGGCATGGCCAAGAATGTTCGTGGATGTTTTATTGTGCCTCACAATGTGACATGTATTGGGCCACGTCGTGGTAACCGTCTGAAGGAAAAAAAAATCCTAATATTCGGGCTTTGGGCCCTGTATAAGGAAAGTGTATAAGGAAAGTGTGAGCTAGGGTTTTCTCACCCTCAGCCTCCAACACCTTCCTTCCTAACCCTAATCATATCTCGCCTCCATTATTGAGATTTGAAGGATTTTGTGGTGTTTTTGGCACATCGAAGGAGAAGGAAGCTCTTTTGGTGTATTGTTTCATCTAGCCATCATTATCATCAACAGCAGCAAGCACCATTTTTGGACCATTGTAAGTGTCCAAGATTCAAGCTTTTTGGTTTCATGTATCTAGATGTAAGTTCTTTGTCTCTTTCTTCATGTTGTGGAAGTTTGGAGGAATGGATTCCATAAAGTTGTCAACTTTATGGATCCTTTTGAGGTCCTTTTGGTGTTATATGTTCTAAGTCTATGGTTCCTTGGTGTTTTTGGCCTCATACTCAAGTTTGAGTTCATTTCTTCATGATTTTGACCTAGTTTGGGAAGAGGCATGCATTGGACATGCCTGTCCATAAAACAATGATTTTTATGTTGGTTTAGGAGTATGAAACCCTTCTAGAAATTGTGGACTTGATATCTTAATGATTAAGTGCTTAATGGTTGACTTTATGCCTTAAGTTGCCAGTAAGGACCTAGGTTTAGAGATATTGGCTTATTAGGATATATTAACGGATAAAGTTGGAAACTTTATCCATCAAGACCTTCGGAAGACTCAGATCTGAGCTTTGGAGCTCATGGGATGGATGGAAAACAACTTAATCCATTAAGATGTTGAGACTTAGTTCCCACGATGTGACATCTGGTCGTCATGACGTGGTGACTGGGGGGACAAATCGATTGTTTTATCTTATTCTACCACAATGTGGCCAGTAGAAGGCCACGACGTGGCAACTCTCTGAGGTTGACTTGGACAGTTGACCTTGACCATTGACTTGTTGACATGGGTTGACTTTTGGCCAAATTGCTAGTTCTAGAGTATAGACTAAGGTTGGACAGTGTTTGATTCGATATGTGTGTTGTAGCACCGATTGCGTGGCATTGAGATGTGTTTTAGCTGACTTCGTGAGTATTCTTAATATACTATGTAGACTGCTAGATTGTTTCTGTGACTCTTGCATTGTGATACCCTGATATTGTTGTGTTTACTCTGATGATTGTGATACATTTTACTAAGACTGATTTTGGGAAAACAAATATTGATGCATTGTTTTGATGTTTGAAAAAGAAAATTTTTATCGATATTTTTGGGATGTTACAAGTTGGTATCAGAGCCTTGGTTTGAGGGATTCGGGTACACTCTCGGGGGTGTGTCTGAACTCAAAATTAGGAATTGATAATCTTTTCCAAAGAAAATAATTTTTTTAAAAAGATTTTTACAAAGAAAGGAGTGTGATGCGTGCGATCAGTCGAGCTCAAGTAAGTGATTCTCAAAATACTCATACATGAGTATTATGATTAGTATGTTATTATGTGAACTGCATGCTAGATTAGGGCTAATGATACCTTCAAGAATTGCATGATAGAATTTTCCTGACTTGTGTGATGCCTTGAAGCCTAGGGAGATTGGATGCTATATATTACTTAGTATCTATATCGGCGAGGTTAACTGTTAAGTGTATTTTAAAAAAAATTGTATATGATTAGGATCATATTGCCCTAGAATGTCTGATTTAGCCTTATTTCATGTTCCTTGTCTAGTTGTGGGCTTAGGGTAGAATCATTTATTCGACAATCTATTTGATTCCGTTTTGTGTATAATTTGCAGGTATAAGGCAACCGACGGTGTTGGTAGAAGTTCCTTGTAGTACAGAAGCAAGTAAGATGAGGATTCCTAGGAGAGCTTAGGAAGTGCTTTAACGAGTTATGTATGTTTTTTTAGCACAAGGGTTTATGAGAGTTGCCATGGTTAAGTGGCTTAGAGGATTCAAGATGATTCTTGAGGAAAATACGGATAAGTGTGGAAGGTAGTATTGGGATCGTACTACTGAAAGCACATGATCCGTACTCGAGTCAAGGATAGTCACAGAGATCCTAAGGAGCTTACAGTGTGAGAGGTCCCTCGTGTATATTTTGATCATTTATATGCTTGTATTTTAGTATGGTGGTGATCACTCAAGGAGAATGTTCTGGTTCAGGTTTTGGTTTTGACTCTGGTGTCGAACCGATTGATGAGAGGATACGCGAGTTCATCACGCTGGAGATCACTTGCGGTATTAGGGATGCTACTGCTGTGATGTTCAGTACAATCAATGAGGGGATTATGGAGTTTTTGGATGAACGCTTAGGGGCCTTCTGTGTTGAGATTACGGCGGGTCAGTTGGGGGCGCAAACTCTCTCTTTTCGAGAGTTCAAGGCTTGTGGAGCCCCAGAGTTCTTTAGGAAGAAGGGCCCCATTGCTAGCCGACGATGGATCGCTGACATGGAGAGTGGTCAACAAACGAGTTGTGCGCCGAGGGGTCGAAGGTGGGATTCACATCTTGCCTTCTGAGTGATGGAGCTCACGATTGGTGGGAGGAGGTTAGACATTCCTTGGGAGCTGAAGTCGTGACAGCCATGTCTTGGGATGAGTTTGTGACGAGATTCAGAGCTAAGTTTGCACCATCTATTGAGGTGCAGCAGGTTGCGAGGGAGTTTCAGGACCTTCACCAGACTACAGAGACTATGGTGGAGATCACCGCCAAGTTCTGGGAGAGAGATTTGTTGGTTCTGCAGTATGCTGCGGATGAGGAGATGAAGAAGACAAGATACCACGACATGCTCAGGGATAATATTCGGGAGTTTATGAGCATGTCGAGCTACAAGACCTTGGAGGATATGATAGCTAGAGCCCGAGAACGGGAGATATAGTTGGAGCTTCGGACAGGCTAAAAGACTTTTGATTCTCGTTCTAGGGGCCAGTAGGGTCGGGGCTGATACGTCAAGTGCGGAAAACCGCACGATGGGGCTTGTTGAGCAGTAGGTTCGAGATATTTTAGGTGTGTTAAGACTGGACATTTTGATAGGGATTGTCGTTGTGGATCATTGATATGTTTCCAGTGTAATCAAACAGGACACAAGAAGGCCAATTTCCCTAGATTGCAAGGAGGAGCAGTGGCGCCTCCCGTGCCAGCCACCTTGAGGATTACTGATGGCCACCTGGGCAAGGTGGAGGCTCCCATGGTGAAGAGTAGGGCATTCCAGTTGACAGCTGAGGAGGCGTGGGCAGCTCCAGATGTGGTTACCGATATGTATCTTTACCATATGTTTTATTGCTTTCCTTACTTATGATTATGTTTTATCTGATCATGTATAGGGATGTTTTTAGTCAATGGTATGTCTGATCATGTTCTATTTGATTCGGCTGCTACGACCGATCCTTCGTGTCTCTTGTGCTTAGAAAGAAGTTTAGTGATGCTCCAAGGACTTTGGATTATCCATTGGAAGATGAGATTGTCGATGATCGTTCAGTGAGTGCTTCGAGAGTTCATCAAGGTTGCATTATGAATATGTTTAGTAAGATTCGATTGATCTAGTTATGATTCCTCTGAGAGGGTCGAAGGTTATTGTGGGTATGGACTGGTTGGGCCCCAAAGGGGCTATGATTGATTGCGAGCACCAATTAGTGAGAGTTCGAATCCCAAATGGGGGAGAACTGATTATTCGTGGAGAGGGAGCTCAACATGGACCAACAGTCTGTTCAGCTGCGAGAGCTAGGAGGTATCTTTAGCAGGGGAACTATGGATTCCTAGCTTATGTGGTGGATACGCGAGTGGAGGGTAAAAAGATTGTGGATGACATGCCTATTGT